AATTACACTTCCCAGGTTTTACTGGAAGAATCCATGACTGTTTAAAGTGGTGTCATAGTGCTTTAAATGTATGGTGTGAATGCGGCCCAGGACCTGAGAGACCAGGGTTCAAATCCCCACTCAGCCATGAAGCTCACTGGGTGACCTTCAGCTAATCACTGCCTTACAGCCTAAGCTGTTTCACAGGAGCATGTGAGGATAAAATGAGGAGGGGAGAAACCATGCATGCCACCTTCAGCACCTTGGAAGAAAGGTGGGGTATACATGTAATAAAAAATAATAATAATCTAGTTTTGTTGAAGTCTTTTCTGGCCAGCAGCGTAGGAATCCCGCTTGCAGATGCAAAACATGCAGTACATCTTGGTCTGGTTCATTTTCCAAAGCACACACTTTGGAGGGGCGCCCAAAATGATCAAAATAAACCTGTCTCTGAAGCCATTCCGTCCCTGCACTCTTTTATTACAAATCCATATTCAGATATGTTAATATATAAAGATGTACAATATTACATAAAGAGCACAAAACCTGACATCGTGACACCAGCGGCTGAATAGCTTGGTTATTATAGCTGCTCTCATTCAGCTATTTTCCCGTCCTCTCATCGGCCTTTTGTGTGGAAGCCTTTTGGCGAGAGAGTCAAGTCTTTACCGATAAGGCCTTGGAGACATAATCACTGGCCTTCATTCTCCATTGACGGCACCATGCGGCCAATTCACAAACATTTTCATATTAATATTGAGCAATTTCCCTACATTCTAATCCATCAAAGTAGGCTATTAATCCTTCCCTGTACCGTCTGCTATTCAAATGCTAACAATTTTCTTCTCAAAAGCTGAAACATTTGTCCTTACAGCCCCTCGCACAAAGACGGCGTATTGTCAGCTGTGATTGATCAGAGTATTAATATGAGGGATGCAAGGTAAATCATATCAATGAAATTGTACATATGCGAGAAACAAGGAGGGAGGGAAGGAAATCTGAGGGATAATTTGAATGTTGAAGATAATGAAGATATTGCCCTGATGACCACATTAAAACAAACAAACAGATCTTGGGGTAAATTTTCCTGGAGTGTCAATAAACTCAAGCTTCTAACAGTGCAACTTGATTTACCAGTGATAGCATATGCAAAAGGGATGGGATTGAGCTTTTCTTTTAAAATTCGCTGTAATAAATACAAAAATACAGCCAAATCAGAGGGCAGAATTCCAAAGGGAGCGTCAATAGTAATCTCTGTCACCAAGCAAAATAGAAGAATGAAACCAGTGAGCAGTCAGCTGCCCTTCTGTACGATTTTCCAGTGGTAGTGTGTGCATTCAAAACCCCACCTCCTCTGTGGGTGGGGCAGGGAAATAGCCAGCCCTTTCTTCAAGAAGCTCAGGGTGACAAATGTGGCTCAGCCATGTGAGGTAGCTTAGGGTGATAGAGAATGGCTGGTCTAAGGTCACCCACAGAGCTTTGAGAGTCTCAGCAGAGAATGGATTCCTGATCTTCTCCACTCCCAAATGCAATGACATTTCCTCCACACCACACTGCTTCAGCATCATTCCCTTTCAGTGCTCTCCGTTCCCTCGCCAAAAGAGCATGATCAGCAAGCAGACTCAAACAAGAGTTCATGTAGATCATCTGGAGAAATCCTGCTTGGGGTGCCTCATACACGGTGGCAGTGACATGAAAATTGGCATTTTCTGCTATTGGCCCTGTACTATGGAATGTCCTTTCCTCAGTCAGACATGAAGCAGCAACCATCAGTGGCCTCAGACATCTTGTAAAGACATATTATTATTTTTTGCACAGGCCTCACACAACCCATAAGATTGGACTTTTTATCTGCATTAATCCCCCAAATAAATGTTTTATTTGTTTTTACATGCTTTTATGCTGCTGTTTTATTGGCTCAAGGATGTGCTTTTTGTTGTAATGATATGTTTATATGGTACATGGCTTAGAGAGTTTATTTTTTAAGTGGTTTATAAATGCTTTCAAATAAATAAAATAAAAACAAGTCTTTCTTGTTTGATAAAGTCCAGGCTGCTGCACATGGGCGTTGCCAGGATTTATGTTGGTGGGGGAGGGAAGGCTTTATGTTAGGGTGGGCAGAACCTCAATTACTTAAGTATTCTTATTGATTTACTTGATTTTGGGGGTAGCTGCCCCCCTGGCTACGCCCATGCTGCTGCACCTTGGCATGGTGGCACGTCTCTCCTTCTGTTTTCCAAGTTAAATATGTGTGAGGTCTTCAACCTGAGAGGCTGCCTTGGACGACCTTCTTCAGAACTAAATGTGCTATCTCTTCCCATTCCCCTGCCCGGATCCTATGCCTTTAGGAATATAAAAAAGTTGCACCATTGATCCATCATGATCACTACTGTCTACACTGCTAGTGGCCCTCCAAGGTTTTAGACTTTTCCCAGTCCTACCAGGAGATTCCAAGGATTGAACTGGCATCCTTCCCTCAACCTTTCCTCTTGGGGTTCTTATCAGAAGCAAAGTCAATCCAATAAGCCTGAAGTCTGCTCACATCTTCCATGACACATTAGATTCCAGTGAAAAGCTTGTGCTTTTGTATTTGTCATCTTAAAAAGTGCACAGAGCTATCTCAGCATGGGGAAAATTTTGAGGTTCATTCCAAAGTAAAGGCAGCAGCTTTTCCTGCTAAATAAAATATGATATTAATTGCTAGGAAAGCTTAGAAGCACTGCCTAAATCAAGAGGAGTAAATCATTTGTTTACAACACTGCCTTTTCATAAGGCACAAAGCTCTTTATTAATTGTGTGTGTGTGAGAGAGAGAGGGGCGGGGAGAGAACCACTGTTATATAAGTTAATACTTATCAAAGTACATTGGTGGTTTCTCCTCGCCAAATGGCATAGTGATTCAATGGACTGGTGAACCAGGCTTTCTGCAGCCAGCAATTCAGAATCTGACTGCTATGAAGGGCAAATAAGGAGGTGAATTTAAAAGACTTAAATGACAAGGCTGAAAGTGGCTGACAGAAGAGGTTGATATCAGCCCCTTTGCCTGCGGAGAAGTGACTACAGCAGCCCTGTTCAGAAGCGGTTCTGAAATAAGCTCAAGAATCCTCTCAGTGTATCAATAGCACCCTCAGAAGAATTGAAGGCATTCATCTTTATAGAACCAACAAGCATACAGCAAATACGGAGTCATATATGTGGCACCTACCGCTAAATGTTCCCTGCCCTGAAGAGGTTAAAATTAAAGAACCTGATTAGATGAAATGAAGGCGATCTGTTTCTAATTCAGCTGCATAATGTAAAGACATCCCTGCTTCCACGGGTATGTACACAAACAGAAATGAATCTGACCCTCGTAGTGGTTCTGGTGTGAGCACACCCTTAAGATCAGAGCTAATGCAATCTCATGTTGATTCAGATTCCACAAACCTGGGGAATGAAGTTCACTGGGTGAACTTGGGCCAGTTGCCAACTCTCTATCCAACTTACTCCACAGGGTTGTGGAAGGGATAAAGCAGGGTGACAGTGGAAGGCCCATGTACACTGCTTTGAGCTCCATGGAGCAATAAGGAGGATATAAATGAAACAAATAAATAGGTCTTTGTGGTGGGTCAGCCCAACAACTGCTCTTTTAAAATCCTGCGGAGGCCAGAAGTAGAATAATAGAAAGGACATCAGCCCTGAGTGCTCACTGGAAGGACAGATCGTGAAGCTGAGGCTCCAATACTTTGGCCACCTCATGAGAAGAGAAGACTCCCTGGAAAAGACCCTGATGTTGGGAAAGATGGAGGGCACATGGAGAAGGGGGCAACAGAGGACGAGATGGTTGGATAGTGTTTTCGAGGTTACCAGCATGAGTTTGACCAATCTGCGGGAGGCAGTGGAGGACAGAGGTGCCTGGCGTTCTCTGGTCCATGGGGTCACGAAGAGTTGGACACGACTAAATGAATAAACAAAAAAAAAAAATATTCATTTATTAAACTGAATATTGGGGAGGTGGAGGCGTGGATGTGACTCAGATCAGCACTATAGTGTTCTGAAGGGGTTACTTTACTTTGGCCTAGTTCTGTTTTACTGATAGACCCAGGTTTCTGCATGCACAAGAACATGCATATATACACATGCACCTCACCGCCAACTTAATGGAGTTTCTGCAAGGCAAAACTAAAAAACTACAAATACAATTTTAACCATTTCTACACTCCATGAAGTGGGAAGACCAGAAAAAATCAGTAAGTAGCCATCTTATCAATGTCTATCCTTGATAGTTTGATAACGGGTTGTTGTTGTTATTTAAATTTAAAAATGGATCAGAGCAATATGCCATGGTGAGCCTATACTTGTTTAGGGATGCCCTAATTATTGTAAGTGGATCCTCCAGTTCTGACACTTAAAAAGGAAAGTGGATTTGCATGGTGCCACCCTTTCATACTATAATCTGTGCAGTAAATTTGCAGGGTTAGGAAAGGAAAATAATGTTGTTTAAAGTGTTCTAATAATCATTACTGAATAATGATTTTTTTAAAGGAAAAAAAACCACTACTGCTAAGCACAAGGTTTTTTTCTCCCTTGTGTTAGGGCAAAAAGAAAAGCTCAAACTTAGAAAACATGGATGCAATTAGCTATCAAGCTCCATAACAATGTTTTGTCCTGCAGTATTAAATGGGGAGCACTTTCCTACACACTGTTCCTCATAATGGGCCAAATGAGAGCCATATGTCAACAAAGGGGGAATCAGAAATGCACATTTCCTGTTATCTTTTACTTTGGGAGAGAAAGGGGGGGAAGCAGACCTGACAAGGTGATCAGCAACAATAAGATATAAACATCAGGGAATTTCGAAAACTCCTAAAGCAATCTGAGCAGGTAATAGATGTTATACTTTATAATGCTCCATCAGGAAATATTACAAGGCTCAGCTTCGGAACATGTGGTGCAGATTAGCAACCCAAGAAGATACTGTGGGGAATAGACGTGGCTGCTTATTTAGGATGGCATCCAACCTTCAGATTTAGAAGGCAAGTATGTTGGATAGCTCAGTCGGTAGAGCATGAGATTCTTAATCTCAGGGTTGTGGGTTCAAGCCCCACGTTGGGCAAAAGATTCCTGCATTGCAGGGGGTTGGTCTAGATGATCCTTGCGGTCCCTTCCTACTCTACAATTCTATGATTCTAAATACAAACCTTCCTATTTGGAGAAAATGTTGTTGTTATTGTTGTTACCCATTCCACTCACTGATCCTATGTTTAACCACTGAGTGGAATCTTGCACCACTTGAAGGCTGGTGTGGCATGTAACAATATATTACATTTCAAGTAGTGCTGTGCCAACATTTAGCCACTCCCTACCCCCACCGTTCCCCATCAATTATTGAGAAAAGAAATTTATGTTTAACAATTATCTAAGGGAAGAGAAAATGCCGGTAAAATTGACATTGCTTTCAAGAGGACTGACAGGTGCTTGAGAGCATCCATTCTTTCATTATACAAATCATATCAGCAGTGGTCTCCACTTTGCAGCCTCCCCAGTTGTCCACACTTTAATCAAAGCCCATGAGGTGACATCACAAGGGGGGAAAGTCCCTTGGGACTTTTTTTCAGATCAGGAAGTGCAGGCAACTGGGAAGTGCTTGAAAAATGTTTAGTAGGGGACAAAAAAACACACGTACCACCCTCACCCCCCTTTCTACTACATGGTAAACTCAGAATGTCATGCTAGCTGAGATTCTGAAGTGCCTTGAGAAGGAGGCAGGAAAAAATGAAAGGCTGTTTCACAGAGGAAGAAAATCTCTAAGAAATCAGAGTATGGATTTTGGCACTTCACTCATTTCAAACACTCAGAAAGTTTCATACATGTACATATAGGTTGTCAGTAAACCTTCCACCAGAACAACAGGAACAATAGGGGATAATTCCATTTGGGAAACCCCAGCAACACTGTCCACTTCAGATGCTTCCTGTGGTTCTTGTAGGTAGCCTATTCATTGCCATTCTCAGGGAAAAGGGAGTATTTTCCTCTCCTCACGCCACTAGCATTCTGTGTCCTCAACAGGCGCCAATGCCCAAATGTGTCAGATCTGTTAATTCTTCCCCTGCCTACTTTATTCTTGACAGAAAATAACTAGAGAAGGGAGAGGACAGAGGGGGAAGGAGGTGAGTGTAATGTTTTGAGAAAAGAGGAGTCTGTGGTTGTTTCCAGAATATAGGTTTTCTTTTTCCTTTCCAGTCCAGAAAATGCTTATTTCATACAGGCCTTTAAAAGCCCCCCATGTCCTCTCTCTCTCTCTTTGGCTGTGTACACAACATACATTGAAAGTGCATTTAAAGCACTTGACTTCCCCCAAAGAATCTTGGGAACTGTCTGGTTATAGGTGCTCGGAATTGTGTAGCTCCCTGAGAGGTAAACTACCCTTCCCATAATTCTCTGGGGGAAGACATGTGCTTTAAATGTGCAGTGTGTATGCAACCTTTCCTTCACTGGCCTCCATTATAACAACACTATAAAAATGAAGGAATTCTCTTTTGTGTGCTGGCTAAAAACTACACAAACAGATAAACACACCAATTAACTGGTTTCACTAAAATTGTGTGCATGTTTGGATACTTTTTTAAAAGCTCCACTTCTCAGAGAAGCGTCCTGCCGCATCCTAATGGCTCCCTGTCAGTAGTGCTGAGAAAGAGGATGTCCCTTCACCGTGGGCCCTTTATTTTTTTGAAGCAAACCCCAGCCACCCCACCCCCACACTGTTTCACTTAATTCTTTCGCCTCCTTCAGTTCAGGGAGGCCATAAAAACCTTTCACTGGCTGACAAGTAAAAAGGCAGTGCAGCCTCCCAACTGCTGGATAATTCAGGAGGTCTCCTTTTCTCATTTTAATTGGCTGCCTAATTGGAATGTTTATGAGTCCTGCGATCGCCAGGGATGAAAAGGCAAAGGCGAGCAATTATGCCATAAGCATCGCTATCTGGCAGGGTTCATCTCCCACCCAGCCTACTCCCCCTCTTCTTTCTCTCTCTCTCTTTTGGAGAAAAGAAAAGTTCACTGGGATGCCATGCTTTCTTTGAAATACCTTGATTTGAAACAATGTAATCCCCCAAGTCAGAAATGTATGTCATGCTGTGCTTCTCCAGTAGCAAAATTGGGGCTTTCTTTTCTTCTTCTTTCCATCGAGTCCCCCTTTTGAATAATCTCTCTCTCTCTCTCTCTCTCTCTCTCTCTCTCTCTCTCTCTCTCTCTCAAAATGTTAGCATAACATGAAGAACAGAAGGCTATCGGGTGGCTGTCAAGTTTATAACTGCTTGTGCTCCTTGGCTGGAGATAAGGCTGTAAGTAAGTAGAGGGCCCTTGATGGAGTTGATTAATTCTCTGGAACGAGGGTTTGTCTTCCCTGGCTCAGTGAATGACTTCATTCCAGCAGATGAGGTCATCCGAGTCAAGGCAATAAACTTTCAGATATCCACATGAAAGCCATTTTTTCAAAAGCTTCCAACTCTTAAAAGGAGGAGAGATAATAATAAGTACCTGCTCATTTACCTGCATTCAAGCGGCCACAGAAGGACCCACTCAGAGTGATGTTTTCTCATCTTTGAAGTACAAAGGTTTCTTAGCAGAAGGTGTGCAAGGAAAGTTGCTGTTGTTGCTGCTCTTGTTCTTGCTGTTGCTGTTGCTGTTGTTGTTGCAATGTACGCTGCAGCTAAGCCTAATGCATGGGCACAGGTTCTGCTTTCTAAACTGCATCCAGCTGTATTTGGATTAACACAATGACCAGAGAATTGAGTTCAGCCCTGGAAAATGCTGGTTCATGTGCAGCACATACCTACAATGCTCGCTTGTGGACTTGGGCATGCACACACACTCTCAGCTCAGTCTACCTTGCAGAGTTGTCGTGGGGAGAAAATTCCAGTCTGGACTCCTTGGGGAGGGCAGGATATAAAGGAAAAATCCTATTGATGATGGTGTCATTGGATTGGAGGCAGACTCACAATGCAATCCTATGGGTGGTATTCACTGGCAGAGGAAGAAGAGTGCGTGGGAAGCACACCGCCCCCAGCAGCGTGATCCCCAGTGTGCCATCGCGGCTGCCCCCCGACCGTGTTGGGCGCCCTGCCCCCGCAGGTGGCGCGGCATGCCCCCAGGACACGTGCCACGCCCCTGCGGGCGGCACCCCCGGGACGCACGCCAGCCCTGCCTCACCTCCTCTCCGCCATGAAGCTCCGCCACTGGTGGTATCCAATGCTAATGTTATTTAGAGTGAGACCTCTAGTTATCCCTGTACAACAAAATGTGAATGGTGCTTCCATGCACAATAAATATTTGATATTCTAGGCAACACAGTATAAATGTTCAACTATTTCATATCTAAATGTCAATATGTGTTTCTGATAATATGAGGAAGTGGGTGTTTGTCTGTTCGAACTGTTTATTAAAGTTGTCCACTCATGTGGAGTAGTCTGGAATCCCAGTCTACACCAAAGAACGAATCTGCTACAGACATTACAATATGGTGCCTTTTTGTCAACCTTACCTAACTTTTGAGGTGTGCAAGAGGTGTTTGAGAATGACCTTTCTTTCATTCTACCATTCACCTCACCAGAAGTTTGCGCTTTTCATTCTCCCTTGGTGCCCACACTTCAATCAAAACCCAGGGAAAACATCCTGACGTGACTACTCATGTGGGGGTTTTTTCAGATCAGGAACCATGGGCAGCTAGGGCGACTGCAAGATACTGCTTGATAAATGTTTAATGGAAAGGAAATAACACATACCACCATTCTTGGCCACCTGGTAACAAGGAGGTCATCTGAAAACCAAAATTCTCAAGGTATTCTTAAGAGCTTTGAGAATGAGATGGAAATATGGGAAGTCTATTTCACAGAGGAAGAACACTGTCAAGAAACTGAAGGCCAGATTTCAGCACAGCCTTACTCTGAGGATAAGGAGCCAGAAGAAAGGGAGAGCAGGAGTGGCCTTGAAGTTGCCCATTAAAAGAATCTGCTGCATCCATCTGCTCTAGCATCCTGTTTTCATATTGGCCAACCAGATGCTTGTGGTAAACTAGTAAGCCAGACTCGAGCACAAGGGCACTATCTCCTCCTGTGGCTTCCAGCAGCTGGTGGTCAGAAGCATTCTGCCTCCAACTGTGAAAGCAAAGCATAGCCATCATGGCTAGAGGCATCGATAGCCCTTTCTTTCATGAATTTGTCTAAAAATCCCATCAACAGCTAGTACATGGGCAGTTGTGTAAGCAGTTGCAGAGGCCACCTGGTAATAGTCTTCCTCACTGTGGCAAGATGTACAGTACATTGATGTAGATTACAGACATTATTTATCAATTGGCAGCTACACAGCTACACTAGCTTGTACACATTTTATGCAAATCTGTGTATGGTTTTGCCCTCTTTTTGGGGGGAAAATGTGCAAGTGGGCACCCTAATTGCTGTAGGCAGTGGTAATGGGTTTAAATGATTGCTGCAGTCGTGCAGGCTTGATCCCACCCCTGTGAAAGTAAGTTTCTCCACCTCTGTGGCTTTAACATTTCCAGTATTAAAGGCTTGCTAATGCATCTCCAGCTCATTTCCACTGACAACAGGCCCTGCAATTGCAGCATATGATATTTATGCATATCTTTACGAGTTTCTACAGAATCCCGAAGCCCATGGTGGCTCTTTGTAAGTGTCGCCTTTGTCGTACTGTCCATCACACGATGATCTCTGGAATGATATATATTAAGTTTCAATGCAGAAATAATAGGCCACTTCAAGACTGGAATAAAATATCAGGATCTGCTGACACATATGGTGTGTGTGTGTGTGTGTATGAGACCCTTAAAGAAGAAATGCATAAACTGTGAATTGATGCCACTTTAGCCCCCCATTAAAAATATTCAAACTATAAATCAAAATTCAAGGTGTATAAGTAATATTCAATTTCAAATTTATGGCATTTTCAAATAGGATGATTTTCCTCAAATGTGCAATAAATTTGGTTGCGGGGAATTGCATATGCCACCTTATCATGACAGTTGCTTTATCTACACAGTCCACTGAAGCCTCGTCACTTTATATAATCTGAATTCACAAATCAACTGTCGTCTTCACTTC